ATGCACGGGGAACTACATATCCAGACAGTCGTTGCAGCAGCACATCTACAAATGCACGGGGAACTACAGATCCAGACGGCCATTGCAACAGCTCATCTACCAATGCACGGCGAACTACATATCCAGACCGTCGTTGAGGCAGCTCATCTACCAATGCACAGCAAACTACATATCCAGATGGTTGGTGCAGCACCTCATCTACAAAAGCACTGCGAATTAAAGATCAAGATTGCACGGGGAACTACGGATTCAGACGTATGTCCTCTACACAACATGGCTACTAAGGTCCAGCTGAGGTACGGTGAGCATCGTATGTTGAGCCACACCAACTTCTACGTCTCAAACCTCCAACATCGAATCTCGAACCTCGAACCTCGAATCTCGAATCTCGACGACGTCTGGGTTTTAGGAAATCCGGGCAGTCCGTCCAGCTGACCCGTCCGTCCGGGTCCGGAGGCTATTTGTATGATCATATTATTTGGCGCCTGCCATAGTGAATTCAAGTCGTTAATGATCATGAGCAATAGTATCGACTTCATTGCTATTGACGGTGGTTCTGCTGTAGATAGTACTGGAAGCTATGTTAAGCTGCCATGTAGCTCAATTGGTAGAGCACCTGGTTATCATACGTCTGGTATCTGGGAATGCGAGTTCAACTCTTGCCATGGTCACATTAATGATATAAAAAGTGTTTTTTTTTTACTATCAATGACCAGGGAGGTGTAGACGAGTCACATCGATTGTCTTAGCAAGTTGAAATAAAAAATACGAAAGGTTTTTTGTATTACTTTGGTGCGTTAATTTCTAGTACCATCTACAACACCACCACCGTCAATAATAATATTTTATTCTAGCAACTTTGGAACGCCTTGGACCTGCCTCGGACGTTCCTCGGGCCTACTTCAGACCTCCCAAACCTCCAACTCCAAACCTCGAATCTCGAACCTCGAACCTCGAACCTCGAACCTCAAATCTCGAATTAGTTGTTGTAGCAGCTCATCTACAAATGCACGGCAAAATACAGATCCAGACTGTGGTTGCAGCAGCCAATCCACCAATGCACAGGGAACTACAGATCCAGATAGTCATTGAAGTAGCTCATCTACAAATGCACGGCGAACTCTGCATCGAGATGGTGGTTGCAGTAGCTCATCTAACAATGCACGGCGAACTACACATCCAGATGGCATTTACAGCAGCTCATCTAACAATGCATGGGGAACCATAGATCCAGATGGTGGTGGCAGCAGCTCATCTACCAAAGCGCGGGGAACTATGGATCTAGATGGTGGTCGCAGAGCTCATTTACCAACGCACGGGGAACTATAAATCCAGATCGTGGGTGCAGGATCCAGCTGGTGGTTGCAGTAACTTATCTGGTAATGCACGGGGATCTACAGATTCAGACAGTCGTTGCAGCATCTCATCTAACAATGCATCGAGAACTACAGATCCAGACCGTCCGTGCAGCCCCTCATCTGCCAATGCACGGAGAACTATGAACCCAGATCGTGGTTACAACAGCTCATGTATTAACGCACAGGGAACTACAGATCCAGACAGTGGATTCACGTAATAATGCACAAAGATTTCATTGTTACAACACTTTTCTTTCTGTCCCTCTCTCTCCATGCAAACATAGAGTTCTCCACACACTCATGACGCTCGACACTTGACACTTGATGCTTGGTAAAATTGTACAGAAATAATGGTATATGAAGAGACGAGATACGATGTAGGAAGCGTGTTTAAACTAGTTATGGTGTTATGGTGTTGTTACTTCTTAGTCTTCATCTGGAACGGGTTCCGGGAGCTAGGCACCACCGGAGGTGCACCAAGCGGCCCATCACCTTTGTCCTTGGCGTCCTTGAGAAAAGCGGCGTGTCTGAGCACTGGAGAGATGTTAGCAAAGTCTGAGAGGTTAACAAACCAGTGACATACCAGGAGATGACGGCTCATGGGATGACGATCCACGCTGCGGGCCTCTCGAAGACCCCAGAGTTTTCTGTGATGGCATTGGCAACAAAGTCCGATGAGGGAGCAATAGACGTGGAATCATGGAAGATGTTCGTCGAGCAGCGTCACTAGAATCATGGATCTCCATCGTTCTGCGTAGTTTGACCGGGTCAGAACCAGGTGGGACTCCCGCTACGATTCAAGATTAGTAACAATAAGACTGTTTGTTTAAAGGGACGTACAGCAAGTTGAATCTTCCTGGATGAGCTGGGAGAATAGGACATGGTTCTGAGCCAGCTTCTGTCGCTTGAGGTTCCTAAGCTCATCGGGGCTGCCTTAAATTGTAAAGCGTCGGATGAAAAGACAGATGATGGGAGTAAGATAGTACATACCTGGTGCCGGGCGACGAGCCGCGAGACGAGGTGGTGTCTTAAGAGTCAACGAACTCTTATGAATCAAAGGAAATGCTGAACAAGAAGTTAAAGGAAGGCAACCAGGTTCGATGGAATGGCATACCCGGACCAGAACCATCCATGAATCCACCGTCGTCTGCAGGGGGGTTAGGAGAAGCTGAGTAGTGATCGTGAGATGGGAACAGATGCATGATATTGGAAAATGACTCACTGCAAGGGTGATCGTCGACTTCCATCGCGTCGGGGTCTTGTCCTGCTGATGTGGAAAAAGCATGTACCTGAAGTTTGGCGAGCTTGTCGGCAGCAGCCATTAGTTCCACAGTAGCTGCTGATGGTGTCATTTTGCGAGGTTTGCCGTACGTCCTTATGGGAGCCTTATGCGCCACAGCTCCGGTACCAGCAGAAGTAGCTATAGCGCTGGGTTGAATCTCGTTCGGAGCTGCTGGCACCACGGGAGTGGTACCAACTACAGCGACAGGTGGGGTGGTTGTAATGGTGGGCGGAATCTCGAGGGGGGCTGCAGGTGCCACAGGTGGGGTGGTTGTAGCAATACTGGCTTTTGGGGTCCCGGGAGCGGGTTGAACCGGCTTCTCTATGGGCAATGGTGGCATCACCTCAGGGAGGGTTGTGGTCCCAAGAGGCGGCTCAACGGTTGTGGAAGCTGTAAACTGGTTAGAGCACAGTAACATGAAGACGACTGGACTGCTCACTCGTGCTGCTTCCCTCCTGAGGTTCGATATTCATATCACCAGCTGCAAAAAGGAGCGTGAACAAAATGCCCATGAATATAGTAGAAAGCACCTACACTGAGTATTGAGGCCGTCTGCTGCCATCTCCTCAGTTGTGGAGTTGATGATCTCCACGTCCTCCTTGCCCTTCTTCGACTTCTTTGCCTTGGCCTTAGCTGCACCTGCTGCCTTATTGGCCTTGCGTGCTACCTTCTTCTCCTGGCGCAAACGATCCCGCACTTCAGGATCATCAGCCAAGGCAAAGTCGTTGTCGCTGGTGGAAAATGATCGGCCCTCAAGAATGTTGAGGATTTCTAACGGTCTCTCAGTCAAGCAAGCTTGACGTGAAAGTGAGATCACTCACCGCGGCCTTTATCCTTTTTGAGGAAGGCATCCATCATTGCCGATTTGCCCCGCGCAAGTGCAGCAAGGTGGATGTCGGCACTATCATCCATCAGGATGTGGTAGCAAATGACGACAGAGAGCTGGCCCTGCCGATATGCTCGACCGCGGATCTGTCGCTCGTCCTGAGC